GTGTGTGTGTGTGTGTGTGTGTGTGTGTGTGTATGCGTGTGTGTGTGTACTCACCTAATTGTGCTTCCGGGGGTTGAGGTTTGGCTCTTTGGTCCCGCCTCTCAACAACACATACACACACACACACACGTGTGTGTGTGTGTACTCACCTAATTGTACTCACTTAATTGTGCTTGCGGGGGTTGAGCTTTGGCTCTTTGGTCCCGCCTCTCAACTGTCAATCAACTGGTGTACAGATTCCTGAGCCTACTGGGCTCTGTCATATCTACATTTGAAACTGTGTATGGAGTCAGCCTCCACCACATCACTTCCTAGTGCATTCCATTTATTAACTACTCTGACACTGAAAAAATTCTTTCTAACGTCTCTGTGGCTCATCTGGGTACTAAGTTTCCACCTGTGTCCCCTTGTTCGTGTCTCACCCGTGCTGAAGAGTTTGTCTTTGTCCACCCTGTCAATTCCCCTGAGAATTTTGTAGGTGGTTATCATGTCTCCCCTTACTCTTCTGTTTTCCAGGGATGTGAGGTTCAGCTCCTTTAGCCTTTCCTCGTAGCTCAATCCTCTCAGTTCCTGGACGAGCCTGGTGGCATTCCGCTGAATCTTCTCTAACTTTGTCTTGTGTTTAACTAGGTATGGACTCCAGGCTGGAGCTGCATACCCTAGGATTGGTCTTACATAAGTGGTATACAGGGTTCTGAAAGATTCCTTACACAAGTTTCTGAAGGCAGTTCTTATGTTGGCCAGTCTAGCATATGCCGCTGATGATATTCTTTTGATGTGGGCCTCTGGGGACAGGTTCGGTGTGATATCAACCCCCAGATCCTTCTCTCTATTTGATTCTTGCAGGATTTCCCCTCCCAGATGATACCTTGTGTTCAGCCTCCTGCTCCCTTCGCCTAATTTCATCACCTTACACTTTCCAGAGTTAGACTTCAGCAGCCATTTTCTAGACCATTCCTCCAGTTTATCCAGGTCATCCTGTAGTCTCTGTCTATCTTCATCCGTCTTGATTCTTCTCATAATTTTTGCATCATCAGCAAACATCGAGAGGAATGAGTCTATACCCTCTGGAAGATCGTTCACATATATTAGAAACAGGATGGGTCCAAGTACTGAGCCCTGTGGGACTCCGCTGGTGACATCTCGCCACTCTGATGTCTTCCCCCTCACCGTTACTCGCTGTTTCCTGTCGCTTAAGTACTCCCTTATTCACTGGAGCACCTTCCCTTTTACTCCTGCCTGTTGCTCCAACTTTTTTAACAGCCTTTTATGGGGTACTGTGTCAAAGGCTTTTTGGCGTGTGTGTGTGTGTGTGTGTGTGTGTGTGTGTGTGTGTGTGTGTGTGTGTCTGTGTGTGTGTGTGTCTGTGTGTGTGTGTGTGTGTGTGTGTGTGTGTGTGTGTGTGTGTGTGTGTGTGTGTGTGTGTGTGTGTGTGTGTGTGTGTGTGTGTGTGTGTGTGTGTGTAATTACCTTTTTTTTTTTTTTTTTTTTTGAGATATATACAAGAGTTGTTACATTCTTGTACAACCACTAGTACGCGTAGCGTTTCGGGCAGGTCCCTGGAATACGATCCCCTGCCGCGAAGAATCGTTTTTTCATCCAAGTACACATTTTACTGTTGCGTTAAACAGAGGCTACAGTTAAGGAATTGCGCCCAGTAAATCCTCCCCGGCCAGGATACGAACCCATGACATAGCGCTCGCGGAACGCCAGGCGAGTGTCTTACCACTACACCACGGAGATTGTAAATTGATTGTACCTAAGTGCAATTACCTAAGTGTAGTTACAGGATGAGAGCTACGCTCGTGTTTGTGTGTGTGTGTGTGTGTATGTGTGTGTGTGTGTGTGTGTGTATGTGTGTGTGTGTGTGTGTGTGTGTGTGTGTGTGTACTCACCTATATGTACTCACCTATATGTGCTTGCAGGATCGAGCATTGACTCTTGGATCCCGCCTTTCTAGCTATCGGTTGTTTACAGCAATGACTCCTGTCCCATTTCCCTATCATACCTAGTTTTAAAAGTATGAATAGTATTTGCTTCCACAACCTGTTCCCCAAGTGCATTCCATTTTTCTACTACTCTCACGCTAAAAGAAAACTTCCTAACATCTCTGTGACTCATCTGAGTTTCCAGTTTCCACCCATGTCCCCTCGTTCTGTTATTATTACGTGTGAACATTTCATCTATTTCCACTTTGTCAATTCCCCTGAGTATTTTATATGTCCCTATCATATCTCCTCTCTCCCTTCTTTTCTCTAGTGTCGTAAGGTTCAGTTCCTTCAGCCGCTCTTCATATCCCATCCCTCGTAACTCTGGGACAAGCCTCGTCGCAAACCTCTGAACCTTCTCCAGTTTCTTTATGTGTTTCTTCAGGTGGGGGCTCCATGATGGCGCGGCATACTCTAAGACGGGTCTCACGTAGGCAGTGTAAAGCGCCCTAAAAGCTTCCTCATTTAGGTTTCTGAATGAAGTTCTAATTTTCGCCAGTGTAGAGTACGCTGCTGTCGTTATCCTATTAATATGTGCCTCAGGAGTTAGATTAGGTGTCACATCCACTCCCAGGTCTCTTTCTCGAATCGTTACAGGTAGGCTGTTCCCCTTCATTGTGTACTGTCCCTTTGGTCTCCTGTCACCTGATCCCATTTCCATAACTTTACATTTACTGGTGTTAAACTCCAGTAGCCATTTCCCTGACCATCTCTGCAGCCTGTTTAAGTCCTCTTGGAGGATCCTACAATCCTCGTCTGTCACAACTCTTCTCATTAATTTTGCGTCATCTGCAAACATTGACATGTATGATTCCACTCCTGTAAACATATCATTTACGTAAATTAGAAAGAGGATTGGTCCCAGCACCGATCCTTGAGGTACTCCACTTGTTACTGTTCGCCAGTCCGACTTTTCGCCCCTTACCATTACCCTCTGGCTCCTTCCTGTTAGGTAGTTCTTCACCCATACTAGGGCCTTTCCGCTTACTCCTGCCTGCCTCTCAAGTTTGTATAGCAGTCTCATGTGCGGTACCGTATCAAAGGCCTTTTGGCAGTCAAGAAATATGCAGTCTGCCCAGCCTTCTCTGTCCTGCCTTATCCTTGTTACTTTATCATAGAATTCTAAAAGGTTTGTTAGACATGATTTCCCTGTCCAGAACCCATGTTGGTGCTTGTTTACAAACCCAATGCTCTCCAGGTGCTCAACAAGTCTTAGCCTAATTATTCTTTCAAGTATTTTGCAGGGGATGCTTGTCAGTGATACGGGTCTGTAGTTAAGTGCCTCCTCCCTATCACCTTTTTTGAAAATCGGTACGACATTTGCCTCCTTCCAGCAACTGGGCAATTCTCCCGACATAAGTGTCTCATTAAAGATCATTGCCAGAGGCACGCTGAGAGCCTGCGCTGCCTCTTTAAGTATCCACGGTGATACTTTGTCTGGTCCAACAGCTTTATTTGCATCCAGTGTTGTCAACTGTTTCATTACATCCTCTGCTGTCACCTCTATATCTGATAGTCTTTCATCTTGGGTAATCTCTTCTAACAATGGGAGCTGCTCAGGCTCGGTTGTGAACACTCCATGGAATTTTGCATTCAGTACCTCGCAGATTTCCTTGTCGCTTTCTGTATATGCCCCTTCTGTTTTCCTCAGTCTTGTCACTTGGTCATTTACCGACATCTTCCTTCTTATATGGCTATGTAGTAATTTTGGTTGCTTTTTCGCTTTGACTGCAATATCATTCTCATAATTTCTTTCCGACACTCGTCTTATGTTAATGTAATCATTCCTAGCTCTGTTACATCTAATCCTGTTGTCCTCTGTCCTTTGTCTTCTGTACTTCCTCCACTCCCTCCTGCTTCTCACCTTTGCTTCCTGACACTGTCTATTAAACCATGGGTTATTATATTCCCTCCTGCTTTTTTTCTTTATTGTTGGAATAAATCTGGCTGGGCGTATCCCCTCCTCTTTCCCTAGTATCTTCTTTCACATGCTGTGTTAGGAAATTCCTGTCAATAACGTCTACCAGCTTCGCTCCCCAGGTCTCCTCCCCGCCATGGGGATTCCTCGTTTCCCAATCTATCTCTCCGTGATTTAGGTCCCCCATGACCAGCAGCTTCGCTCTCATTCTATGCGCTAAAGTTGCTGCCCTCTGCAGTTCATCCATACATGTCTTGTTGCTGTCCTCGTACTCCTGCCTGGGCCTTCTACTGTTTGGTGGGGGATTGTAGAGTATCAAGATTACAATCTTCTTCCCATCCACTGTCAGATTTCCATGTATGAAGCTTGTGCTTTCATTGGTACCCGGATTTTCCAGCTCATCAAACTTCCATTTCCGCTTTATTAGTAGTGCCACTCCTCCTCCCTGTCTCTGTGTCCTTTCTTTTCTTATCACCTGGTACCCCTCTGGAAAGATTGCATCCGAGATCATGCCATTTATTTTAGTTTCCACTATTACCACTATGTCTGGGTCTGCCTCACTAACTCTTTCTTTTATCTCTTCTGTGTGTGTGTGTGTGTGTGTGTGTGTGTGTGTGTGTGTGTGTGTGTGTGTGTGTGTGTGTGTGTGTGTGTGTGTGTGTGTGTGTGTGTGTGTGTGTGTGTGTGTGTGTGTGTGTGTGTGTGTGTGTATGTGTGTGTGTGCGTATTTACTATTTGTGCTTGCATGACCGAGCCGTTAGCTCTTGGACCCCGCCTTTCTTACCGTCGTTTGTCTTCTGTACCCTACCTCGTTGTTTGTGTGGATATGTTCTTTTTTTTACTCACTAAGACTTGGTAATAAGGCAACATGTCACTTCTCATAGGGAATCTTTCAACTGTGAGTAGTTCAGTGCTACGACTTCTCTAATTTTCCTAATTGTATTCACATTAAGCAATGTGTACACACGTGTCTGAATGACATTCATGTGAGCATTTCAATATTCCATTGACGTTTTCAAATTTAAAAATATTACTTGTCATTCCTATTTGAAAATGTCGCCCCTCATAAATGTATGTTTCGAGGATGAAATTACCGGAATAATTACACCATCATCTTCATCATCTTGTGAGACATCGCCGACACCTCTACACTCGTCGTCGCCGACACCTCTACACTCGTCGTCGCCGACACCTCTACACTCGTCGTCGCCGACACCTCTACACTCGTTGTAACTGACTGTGTACACTTCGTACATTTATTGTCTCGCTAATTTGAGATCATATTAGATTCCATATGTCACTGGCATTATATGTATGATTTTCCGAATAATTTTTGTTTTTCAGTGTTTGATGTTCCGATTAATTTTTTTAAGAAATTAAAATCACATGAATATCATCATGGTTTTTAGTCAATGATAATATTTTTTAATTTGTAAACAGCAGTGATCTTATTGGTTCCAATTTAGTGCACCAATAACACAAACTATTCAGTCCCGGGGAAATGCACTGACAGAACTTGAATACCAACATGTTGATTTAAAAGAAGTAGAGAGTTTTTAAGACGTAAGTAGAGATCCTTCCCCTTCGACGGCTGGCGGTACACTGAGACACCACGTGGAGCACTTGTTGTGGCGGGGAGGGGGCGGGGCCTACTGACGTCACCAACTATGTCACTCCACCCAGCACTTGTTGTGGCGGGGAGGGGGCGGGGCCTACTGACGTCACCAACTACGTCATTCCACCCAGCACTTGTTGTGGCGGGGAGGGGACGGGGCCTACTGACGTCACCAACTATGTCACTCCACCCAACACTTGTTGTGGCAGGGAGGGGGCGGGGCTTACTGACGTCACCAACTATGTCACTCCACTCAACACTTGTTGTGGCAGGGAGGGGGCGGGGCCTACTGACGTCACCAACTATGTCACTCCACCCAGCACTTGTTGTGGCGGGGAGGGGGCGGGGCCTACTGACGTCACCAACTATGTCACTCCACCCAGCACTTGTTGTGGCGGGGAGGGGGCGGGGCCTACTGACGTCACCAACTACGTCATTCCACCTTCCCCTATCATGCCAGGAACAAAGTCCTTACAACCAAATATGATTCTTACAAATCCTATTTGTTAACGACAATTAGTAGCTGGTGGACGCCTTAAGACGTGACAGACTTATGACCTGTCACATCTCTACATGTTAAGTATGGCCTTAGCCTAATTATATAGCTTCTGACCACACGACCAGTTGTAGTACTTACCAAAACCTCTATGATTAATCTGGTTTCAGATGAAGTATTACCAAAATCTAATTCATGATTACTAAACAGTTTCTGCAAATAATAAAAAGGAAACCAACAAGTTAGCCTTTTTGTTCCCTCTTTATGAAGTTATACATCACAAGATATAGTACATTTGTCATATATATTATTTACAGAGGAAATATTAGATTACATATAGGTGACATAATTCTCAGGAAAACAGTGTTTCATGTTATCACAGAATATGAACAGTGAACATCCACACACACACAATGTAATTAGAAAGAAGCATAAATATGGTAATCTTAATATTCCTGTATTCTATATCAATATAAAACATTACAAACCTGATTAAATCTGCTCTAATGTCTGGTCAACACAATGCTTCTGGAGTGTCTTAATCCAGTTTGTAAGCATAAATTTTTGCTTTTATAAATAAAAAATGTGCATATTATTTTTAACTTCATTACATTGGCCAGTTGTATTGTTGTCCACAATGCTCAACATCATCAATCTGTCATTAGTGTGGTGTCAAGAATATGTATGTACAAGAGTTAACGTTGTTTTGGAGCAATCAACTTGACATGAAGAGTTGCCCATATTGTTCTCAGTATATAAGTGGATATGTCTCCTCTACTCTGTGTACTATAACAATGATCAAGATGTTATACACTTGTTGACTGGTCATCATTAACAACACTTCAACATTACTTATCTGCCTGAGAACATTATTTGCACATGAATAAAAGTGAGGCGAACAGAGGCAAGGTCGGGGTACTTCGACATATGTATCAAGGTCAGTATACCTCGACATATGTATCAAGGTCAGTATACTCAGGCACATGTATCAAGGTTATTATACACCAGCATATGCATCAAGGTCAGTATACTCGAGCATATGTATCGAGGTCAGTATACTCCAGCATATATATATATCAAGGATCAGTATACACTGGCATGTGTATCAAGGTCAGTATACACCAGCATATATATCAAGGTCAGAATACTACGGCATATGTATGAAGGTCAGTATACTCAAGCATATGTATGAAGGTCAGTATACACTAGCAAATGTATCAAGGTCAGAACACATCAGCAAATGTATCAGGTCAGTATTCTCCGACGTATGTATCAAGGGCAGTATACCCAGGCATATGAATCAAGGTCAGTATTCTCCACCATATTTATCCAAGTCAGAAAACTCCAAAATAATAATAAAGGTCAGTATGCACCGGCATATGTATCAAGGTCAGTATACTCCAGCAAATGTATCAAGGTTAGTATACTCTGGCATATGTATCAAGGTCAGTATAATCTGGCATTAGTTTCAAGGTCAGTATACTAGAGCATAAATATCAAGGTCAGTATATTCTGTATTATGTGTCCAGTTTAGTATACCTCGGCAAATGTATCAAGTTAAGTATTCCCCAGCATATTAATCAAGGTCGGAATACTCTGGAATATATATCAAGGTCAGTATACACAGGCATATGTATCAAGGTCAGAATACACCAGCATATGTATCAAAGTCAGTATACTCTCTCATATGAATCTAGGTTAGTATACTAGAACATAAATATGAAGGTCAGTATACTCTGCCATATGTGTAAGGGTCAGTATACTCTGACATGTATCAAGATCAGTATACTCCAGCATATGTATCTGTAAGAATACACCGGCATATATATCAAGGTCAGTATACTCCAGCGTATGTATCAAGGTCAGTATAATCTGGTATAAGTATCAAGATCAGTACATCTGGTCATATGTATCAATGTCAGTATACACATGCATATGCGTCAAGGTCAGTATATTATGGCTTATTTATCAAAGTCATTATACTCCGGCATATGTATCAAGGTCAGCATACTGTGTCATTTGAATCATGGTCAGTATACTGTCATACGTGTCAGTATATTCTGGTATATATATCAAGATCAGTATATGCTCTCATAAGTATCAAGGTCAATATACACTGGCATATGTACCAAGGGCAGTATACTCTGGAATATTTGTCAAAATCAGCATACTCTGTCATATGTATTAAGGTCAGTATACACCAGAAAATTTATCAAGGTCAGTATACTTTGGCAAATGTATCACTCAGTATACTCTAACATATGAAACAATGTCAGTATACTAAAGCATAGCTATCAAGGTCAGTATACTCCAGCATTTGTATCAAGGTCAGTATACTCTGGCATATGTATCAAAGTCAGTATACTTTTGCATATGAATCAGGGTCAGTATACTCTGTCATGTGAATCAAGGTTATTATACTCTGACATATTTATCAAGATCAGTGTACTCCATCATATGTTTCAAGGTCAGTATACTCCAGCATATGCATCAAGGTAAGTATACTCTGGCATATGTATCATGGCCAGTATACTCCAGCACATGAATCAAGGCCAGTATACTCTGGCATAAGTTTCATTTACAGTATACTGTCATATATGTGAAGGACAGTATACTCTGACATATGTATCCCCAGCAAACAATTTTAGGTTGCCACAACATATCTGGAAAGTATTTGAAAGTATTGGAAACGTTTGTTTTATCGTATCAGATACGATATTGTGTGTGGACTTAAATAGGTTTCCAAAACTTATAACCAAGACATATGTATCTAACACTAATTTGAGATGTTGTGGCAACTTTACACTCCTAACATGAGTCATTCATAATCCATTCATATACCAATATGAATCTCTTATGAAAGGTTTGAGCCAATAATCTGAACCCTTTTCACATCTTTGTGTTTAAAGTTAAATTTCTTGAAATTAAATTATATTTTATATTATATTATTTTTATTATATTTTATATTATATTATTATTTTCAATTTAAATATTAAAACCAATTTAAGGGTAAAAAAAATCTAATAATTTATATTTCTTTTATTATTTACTAACAATTATAATTATTTACTAACGGAGATAGGGGAGGCTGTACGGCGGAGAGTGGCGGCTGTGGTGGACAGTGGCGGCGGTGGCGGATAGTGGCGGCGGGCGGACAGTGGCGGCGGCGGGCGGACAGTGGCGGCGGGCGGACAGTGGCGGCGGTGGCGGATAGTGGCGGCGGGCGAACAGTGGCGGCGGTGGCGGATAGTGGCGGCGGGCGGACAGTGGCGGCGGGCGGACAGTGGCGGCGGGCGGACAGTGGCAGCTGTGGCGGATAGTGGCGGCAGGCGGACTGTAGCGGCGGCGGGCAGACCGTGGCGGCGGCGGGCGGACAGTGGCGGCGGCGGGCGGACAGTGGCGGCGGCGGGCGAACAGTGGCGGCGGCGGGCGGACCGTGGAGGCGGCGGGCGGACAGTGGAGGCGGCGGGCGGACAGTGGTGGCGGCGGGCGGACAGTGGTGGCGGCGGGCGGACAGTGGCGGCGGCGGGCGAACAGTGGCGGCGGCGGGCGGACAGTGGAGGCGGCGGGCGGACAGTGGAGGCGGCGGGCGGACAGTGGTGGCGGCGGGCGGACAGTGGTGGCGGCGGGCGGACAGTGGAGGCGGCGGGCGGACAGTGGTGGCGGCGGGCGGACAGTGGTGGCGGCCGGCGGACAGTGGTGGCGGTGGCAGACAGTGGTGGCGTTGGCGGACAGTGGCGGCGGTGGCGGACAGTGACGGCGGTGGCGGACAGTGGCGGCGGTGGCGGACAGTGGCGGCGGTGGCGGACATTGGCGGCGGTGGCGGACACTGGCGGCTGTGTCTGGCGGTGGTGGCGGGCGGTGGCGGGTGGCGGCTGGCGGTGGTGGGTGGTGGCGGCGGTGGTGGTGGGTGGTGGTGGCGGCGGCGGCTGGTGGTGGTGGGTGGTGGTGGCGGCGGCGGCTGGTGGTGGTGGGTGGTGGTGGCGGCGGCGGCGGCTGGTGGTGGTGGGTGGTGGCGGCGGCGGTGGTGGTGGGTGGTGGTGGTGGTGGGTGGTGGTAGCGGCGGTGGTGGTGGGTGGTGGGCGGCGGCGGCTGGTGGTGGTGGGTGGTGGCGGCGGTGGTGGTGGGTGGTGGTGGCGGCGGC